AAAGAGAAGGGAGAGAGATATAGACACATCAGTGATGAGAGAGAATCACTGATTAGCTGCCTCCTGCACGCTCCCTACTGGGGATCGACCCCTCAACCTGTGCCCTGACCTGGAATGGAACCGTGACCTCCTGGTTCATAGGTCAACACTCAACCACTGAGCCACTGTGGCTGGGCGTCCAGCACTCTTCAAGACCCGGGGCCAGTGTGACCTGGGGGGTCCAGTGGGGGCCCAGGCCTCAGAGTCCTCACACCCTGCCAGCACCCACAGAGTACGTTTCTCTTCTGCGGACCTTGTGGGCTTTGGGGTGTCTCCTTGGAACCGGGGGACCTTTAGGGTGGAAGGTGTCTCAAGAATCTAGGATTCTGCTGCCTGACACAGGGCTGGCCTGAACATAATGCTGGAAAGCACTTGCCGAGAGGATGGAGGGAGAAGTGAGTGACCTTCGGGGACCTGTCTGGGGCTCTCCCCAGCCGCCACCCTGAGTGTGCACCCTGGCTAATCCCACCAAGGATGGGAAGGGTCCTCCCCGGGGGACGATGGGGCGGGGGGGTGTTTCCTTCCAGGCCACACATCAGACCCTGTCATGTGGGGAAGGCCACCGTGTGCTGGGGTAGGGGATGCTCACTGCGCCAGAGGGACAGTGACAGTCCTGTTGCTTTTTCAGTTGGCCTAGGGATCTTGGCCTTGGCTCCCAGGGAGACCTACCAGCCCCGTCCCTGCCAGGCTAACCGGCCACCTCTCACATGGCCTCAGCCCTCGGGAAGCCCCGGTAGCTGGGCAGGGGCAGGACCAGCCAGCTCTGTGCTCTCTGAGGACAAGGGCTGGGTCTGGATGTGTCCTGGGAGAGCAGGGAGGCCTCCCAGGGCAGAGGGAGGGATGTGGACAGCAGAGGGCAGGGGGGAAGGAACTTGGCAGGCTCTGGGATGAGTGGGGTGGGCACGAAGGCCACTCCAGGTTCCTGGCTGGGGTGCTCTGTGGAGGCAGGTGCAGAGCTTCCTGGGTGACCTTGAGCCCCACCGCTCTCCTGGCCTTTCTCTGGAATTCTGCTTCGGGCCACATCTTTGGGGATGGGAGGTGGTTCTGGGCTGGAGGCCATACCCCAGGGGTAGGTGGCTAACCCTCCTGCTGCCCAGCCCACACCTGTCCAAGGACCAGGCAGGAGAAGGGGCTGCCCCTCCCCCAGCAGCATGAGTGCAGAGAACTGTAAGCACAGTTCCTCCTCCACACAGCCCTGGCTCCCTATGCCCCGGTCTTCACTTAGGTTGGATGTACCTACTGTGTGCCTGGAGCTGCCACAGGAAGCCACCAGCCAGCCAACCACCCCCGCTGGTCATTACACAGCCCTTCCCCACTTCCTCCAGAGCCCGGAACCCGACACGCCTGGGATTTGGAGTGTTTTCCCACCCACGAAGGCACTGAGTCGGTCAGCAGCCCTGGATTACGAATGAGGCCTCTGGTGACCAGGAGAGGATGGGTGCTGCCCAAGGTCACACAGCAAGCTGACACTGCACAGGCTGATCCAACAGCTGCCCAGACTTGGAGGGGAGACTGCTGGCAGGTCCCTGAGCCTGCCCCATCTGGGCCTTGGCAGCAGGCGAATAAAGGCAACACCTCAACAAGGTCACAGTGGCTGGCTGGGGCAGACTGAGGACATGATGCTGGGCTCAGGCAAGCGAGGGACAATCCAGGAGGGCTCCTGGGAGGAGGTGAGTGTCCCGGAGCCCCACCTTGGCCTGAGCCCCTCGGCGCTCCACCCGCTTCCTCGATGGGCCCCTCACCAGCTTCAGCCCCAGCCTGACATTTCCCGTGACATTTGCTGCAAAGAAATAGAGTCATAAACCCAAAGGTTAAATTTGCACATTGCCTCACGCTGCCAGGAGAAGCGCAGTCCCTCCACCCACCAGGTGCGTGGCTAGAGGGTTCGTGCACGATGGCCCGCCCATTCCCAGCGCCCGAAGGTCCCTTTCCCAGTCCTTCCCAGGTACCTCAGTCACCTTTTCCCAAAACAAGTTTGTGGGCACAGCAGGCCCTGAAGCGTGCTGCACAGGGGTCCCACCCTACTGGCAAACCCAAAGCCCTGAGACACCCTCTGGTACAAGGAGCTCCGTCAGCACCACTTAACCCAGCTGTCCCAAATCTGCTTGACGACGAAACCCTTGTTCCATCCCCACCAACATGCCATGGAACTTCAATTCCACGCAGCAGGATCTGTGGCAGCCAGGTAGGAAGGCCCGGTGCTGACCGGAGGGCTGAGGGGCATCCCCAAGGCACCGGGTGGGCTGCCTGAACCAAGCCGGGCCAGCTCCTGACACCCCAGTCCCTCTACCCACGCTCCCCATGTCCCCATCGGCCCAGTTCCGCGTGCCAGGCCCACCCGGTCTCTGCCCAGGCAGTACCTCCCCACCATTCCTCTGGCAGGTCTGCCGGCTGCCCTGCCTTTCAGATACACCTCCGAGGCCTGGCTGTCCTTCCTGTGTGTGTGTGTGTGTGTGTGTGTGTGTGTGTGTGTGGTGGGGGCACGAGGCCGAGGCCGGGTGCCTGATGGCTCCTCCTCCATTCTCCCGCAGGAGGGCAGAGCTGCAGGCCCACATGGAGACAGGGCTGTCAGGACAGCTGCAGGGTGAAGGCAGAGGCTACGGGAAGGGGCCAGGAGAGAGGTGGCTGGAAGTGCCAGGGCTGGAATCCTGATCAGCATGGAAGCATATTCACTCACTCCCAGAGGAAAACGCAGAATCCACCCTGGAAAGGTTGGGAGGGGTCGGGATCCAGAGAGAGGGTATGTGACCACACCTCCGGGGACCTCATGGGGCCTCCACGTGTGGCGTGTATCTCCCATGTCCAGCCCCACAACCACGGGCAGCAGGAGAGGCCAGGGCAGGTTCATAGAAATAATGGCGCATCCTCAGGAAGGGACTCTGCACACACCACTAAACCCATGATGCACAAGAATAGTCCCAATGTGCAAAATGTTTAAAATACAGCGACAAAAGAAGAAACTGCAGCACAAAACACCCGTATGGTGGGACCTGGCAGGCCCACGCACTCCAGGGATGGTGCCGGAAGATGCAGGGGTGTGGACAGCATGCTGTCCTCTGGCTAGGCTTCCATGTGCGGCTCTGTGACCACCTGCCCTTCAAAGAATTTAGTCCAATAAACTCAGGAGGCCCAAGGTCACATCCCTTTAATGGCCTGGCTCCGAGTAGGGTCTGACAGTCCAAGAACGAATGAATGAATGAAAAAATGAATGCATAACTGAATGAGAGCATGTGTGGGGATCTGAATGAGCAAACAGTGTCTGGGATTGGGCTGCTGGAAGGTGCAGAAGCAGGCAGGCCACAGGGCAGGGGACACGGAGGGGTGCAGAGGATGCAGAGGCCAGGCCCTGAGAGGTCAGCTGTGGGTGGGGTAGCCAGGCAGCATCCTATGGACCTTGAGGCCCCGGCCCTGGGTGGCCACAGAGGGTCAGGCAGCCATGGGGGTGACGGGGTCATTGGTCAGGGCCTACCAGGCTGGGGATGGGGCACATGAAAGATACTGACCAGGCACAGTCAAAGGCCTTCAGGACCCCCACAGCAGAACCCGGGATGGGGGGTGGGGGTTACTCCCTCCTTCTCACACTCACTGACACATTGGTTCCCTCACACACCATTCACTCACTCAATAAACTCACTCATTCATCATGGAACACCTTCCTTGCATTGTGTTCCTGACCCCTTTCCAGATGCACAGACTGAGGCTCCGTGGAGACTTTCTGGCAACAGGCCCAGGAGAGCAGGGATCTCATCCCTGGGGGGGTGGATTCCTTCCGCTCCACCAGCCAGGACCCTCCTGGTGCTGTACCAGCTGCCAGGAATGTCTAAGCTACGAAGCCATGAATTCAAGGCCCGGGCAGGGAGCGAAGGAGGGGCCTGCGCTGCCTGTGGGTGAGCAGGAGTTTCCGGCCTGGGGGCAGCAGAGGGAAGATGCACGGGAGTCAGAAACGGTGGGGAAGGCACGGCACAGGCCCGGGCCTGCCCTCAGCCTCCCAGGACAACAGAACTTCCAGAGCCCAGCACATCCACAAGCCACAAGCCCTCTTGCTTGTGCAGACCCCCTGGGCCAGGCTGTCTTCCCGGAGCCTCTCCCGTTCCTCTCCTCCGGGACCACAGGGAGAGGGCCAGTCCCGACAACAGGACCCCGGCTGCCCATGACTCTTCCATAGAGAGAAACAGAGGCTCCGGGGTTCTGCAGGCTTCCTGCTAGTGAGGGGCAGCGCCAGCGTGGGAAATAATGTAGGTGTCCTCTCCCTCCCTGCTCCCCTACCTGCCCATGTTCCCCTCTCCAATCCCCTTGCCTTTCAGGGGCCTTTATTTCCCCCTCGGTAAATGGGCCAGAGGGAGGGGCCCTGTTGGCAGTGCAGGAGTTCCAGAGGACTTCCCTACATGGGAATGGCTGACGGGGGTAGGATGGTGGTCTTTCAGGTATTTTGAAGGTAAGAGACCTGCGGTCAGAACTCAGTGGGGGCCTCGGCCTTCAAGTGCCCCCAGCAACCACCGAGGGAAGCCTGATCACTGGCCCATGTCACAAATGAGGAGACTGAGGCACAGAGTGGTGAACTGTCACACTCAAGGTCATAGCCCCCAGAGGGTGGCTGAGCCAGGACCCAAATCCAGGCCGCTGCTGTCCTGCCATCCCACACTCAGGAGCCAGGAGCCATCGCCTGTCTCGGTCCTCGAGTGGGAGCCTGCTTCTTCCGCACAGATGGAAAGACAGGCTGAGACAATGGGGCGTGGCCAGCCTCACTGCCTGTCCCATCATGGGACCCACCCTCACACACCTTATAAGACTGACTGGCTTGTCCCCATTCTACAGACGAGGACACTGATGGTGGCAGGGGAGCCGGAGCTGTGCCTCTGCCTCTCTGGGCCCCGGCCTGGAGTCCTCCTTACCACAGCGCGAGGGAGTCACCAACACCCTTATCTCAGAGCCCCACACCATACCCGAGGTAGGTGACACCTCACCATGGAGAGACCGAGACACTGGGGGCAAAGGCTTCCTCAGGTCACCCTGGGTCAGCCATGGGGAGGGCACAGACCTGCCCCCCCGCTGAGCTGAGCAGCAGTCACTGCTGAGCTTGCCGGGGCGTCTGGCCCATTTGTCCCTGTGTTGACCTCCAGATTTGAAATGGGCCTTCCCTGCCCAGGTGGGCCCCAGCCCCCATCGGCCACCACCGCCCTGTCATGGGGGGAAAGGAGGAGTGTCCGGGAGCCCTTCCACCTCACACCCTGGGCTGGGGCACCGAACTAGCCCCCAGCACACATTCCCAAGGCCTCTGCTGCAGATTTGGGCAGAACCCGGCCACAGCCCACCCAGGCACACAGGGGCACCTACACCCGGAAGGAAAAAAGGCACATGCTGATGTGTCCACAGGCACATACGGTCATGCGTGCAGACACACATGTTCACACGCATGCCAAGTTACACCTACACAAACAGGCCTGAGGGGCTGTGGAGGGGAGACTCCGGGACAGGGGGCTGGCGGACAGAGTGGGACCAGGATCCTGTAGGCGGTTTCTCGCCTCCTCTATCTGTGAGCTCCAGCTGCCCAGAGCCTCCCCCTTAACACGTGCATGTAGGCACAGGAGTGGGTCCTGCCCAGGGGCGCCAGCATGTGCTAAGCATGGAGATCATAGCAAGCATGCTATGTACATGTGTGTGGCCATGGGCATGCAGCCGGGGGCGATGATGCCGGGGTGCATCCCTAGCATGTGTGCACGTGCACACTGGGGCAGCCTGGCATGTGTGTGCACACGCGGTATGCAAGGGTGCAGCCCTTGTAGACACGTGCACGTGTAAGAAAACGTGTGTGCAGCCTGCGGCATTGTGGACATCAGCAGGGCAGCCCGTGGGGGTGCCAGGGGAGCACTCTTCCGGCAGAGCATGCAGTCGGGTCCCCAGCCCCCACTCTCAGGACTTCATACCAGGTAGGGGGAGGGGTCCCATGAGGGCTTCCAGGGATGAGGCACCGTGAGCCCCTCGGCCCAACCCGCAGGGGCCCTTAGGCTGCGGATATGGGGGCTTGGCTGCCTCCTCTCATGACTGGCCCCCTGGAGGGGCAGCGCAGGGCTAACCCCGCACCCCACCCCTCTGCTGTTGCCAACACCCCCATTCATGCCGCTGCGGCCTGACCCCAGAGACGGGAGAGGTCCTGAGTTGAGTCCAGCGGGGCAAGGGTGGAGGCGGTTGATGCCCCCAGCCCTGCTAGGTACCACGTTTCTGCACACATGGTCATTAACCCCTTCGTGGCCGGGATGCTCCAAGGCTGGACCGCGCCCTTCCAATCGGCAGCCTCCACCCCGGCCCCGGCCCCGGCCCCGGCTTC